ATATGTTACCTCACAAGGCATATTTTGTACAGATACTATTGTAGCAGTGTGTAGGGTGTGAATACAGATGTGCCTAGGGACACACATACCGTAGAGGTTTGTGATGACTGCTACTTCCTCACCTCAAGAGCATCCACTCCTAGTGTCCTGCACTAATCACCCCTGTTCTTCCTATTCAACATCTATATTTAATCCCGTAGAAGAAGCTTGTATGTACTTCTGCATATTGCTGGTACTGATGATATAACTTCACATCAGGCATGGCCCCGTTACTCAACACTGCCAGTGCCTGAGTAACAGTAAAACCCATATTAGTTAAATCCAGGGAAGACATAGGAAGTGAGAGTGGAAAGAGGAAAGTGTTTTCAAGTACTGGCCCTAATCATAACATTACCCTTCTTCAAAGGTGTCTGTCCTCTGAGCACCAGTGTGGATGGAGTCTTGGGGGTCCCAAAGGACTCCTTACTGGCACCAGTAACTAGAAGCGCCTTTCAATAGCTGCAGCTAGCCATGAGACTACCCTTTTTCTGCTCTGGACCTGGCCACAGTAGTCCACATAATTGTCACTTCCAGGATCAACTACTGCAATAAACTGTATGGGGTTGAAAGCAAATACCATGAACAAGCAGTGGCCAGTGAGACAGGGTAATGAACTTGCTACCCTGGATGCCTCACTGACTCTATTCGCAGGCTGTATTAACAACTGGATCTTCAGTGGGGTTGGACCCATCTGGGGCAGGCTACTTTTCTCTGTGACTATAAAGCTACATTAATCAGAAACACTAGATCTGACTGCACTTAGAATTAAATTTACATATGTACCCCATAACTACTCTTTTTGCTGGTCTGCATGCACCCATAACCACCCAGAACTTTTTACCAAGCAGTCACTTAAGATACTGCACAAAGAAGGAGCAGAATTTGACACTGGCAGACCAGGTGCCAGCTCATCCCAAGGTTCATAGGCCTCACTTAATGCTGATAAAGGCATAGCTGGAAACCATCTGGCTCAACTGTGTGTTAGCATTGATAAAATAGGTATTAGATTTATATATGTGTATTTGGACTTTATGAAATGTTTGATGAGTTGCTGCATGCATTAATCTCACTTATAATATCTGTATACCATGTTATAAGGCAGGCCCGGCTTTAGGAAGTGTGGGGCCCAATTCGAACAGTTTCAGCGGGGCCCCAGCAGAGATGACTTAAAAAAAAACCAAACATGTCAAAAAAAGCCTTTCATTTCTTAGCAACCGGTTCCTTATAAAAAGTTCTGATTTAAGGGATGTGCCACAGTACGTATTTTTTTGTACCAATAGGGTTACCATACGTCTATATTTTTAAAATTTAAAAATTCCTCCCTGATGGCAATTTAAGAACCAAAAAGCCTGGCATGTCCGGGAAAATATGGATGTATGTTAACCCTACCTAAAGTTCTTTTTTAAAAAGATGGGCCTGAACTAGAAATGAGCTCTGTTTCACATGTGTGGGTCCCCGCCACTCCCTGGGGGTGTGCCGGTGTGCACATGTGTGGGTCTCAGCTGCTCCCTGACCCCCTCATTGAAGCAGGTGTGCAGGGTTACTGCCCTGGGAACTGCAGGGCACCAGTGGACATGGGGCTGGCTGGAGGCAGGGCTGACTGGAGGTAGGGTCTGGCTGCAGGCAGGGCAAGGGGTGCGGGGCTGGCTGGAGACAGGGGTGTCTGGGGTGGGCTGGCTGGCTTCAGGCAGGGCCACTGGGGGGTACGGCATGGGTTGGCAGGGCTGGAGACAGAGGAGTGCGGGATTGGGTGGCTTCAGGGAGGGGGGTGCGGCAGGGGTTGGCTTTAGGGCAGGGGGTGCAGGGCTGGCTGCAGGCAGGGCAGGGGGTGCAGCAGGGGCTGGCTGTGGGCAGGGGATGCGGGTACAGGGGGTACAGTCCACCCTGTACAGTAAGTACCCCCTCCCCCCTCCCCCACCGGGGTAGCAGCAGCAGTCCAGGGCTCGGGGGCTATTTAAAGGGCCCGGGGCTCCCCTGCTTCTACCGCCCCAGCCCTTTAAATAGCCGCCAGAGCCCTGGGGAAGCGGCGGGGCTCTGGTGGCTATTTAAAGGACTGGGGTGGCAGAGGCAGCTGGAGCTTTAAATAGCCCCCTGAGCCCCACAGCCCTACCCCAGGGCTCAAGCAGTGGAGCTCTGGTGGCAATTTAAAGGGCCTGGGGCTCCAGCCCCTGCTTTAAATTGCCCCCTAGGGAAGCCAAGCCACCCTGGTACAGCGCACCGGCTCTTGCCGGAACGCTGTACAGGGGCTTGGGCGCAGGGCCCTCTTAGGGCCAGGGCCTGAATCAGGGGAATTGGTTGAATCGGCCTAAAGCCGGCCCTGTTATAAGGTAATATTTAAATGTTTTGCTCTAACTATAAAAGTGTTTGCTATCCTCCATAATCAGGAGAGAAGTAATACCAAGTGTGAAATACTAGTTTATCACAGGAGGGGTCATTTCCTGCTCAACAAAAGAAGCTCTATAGACACTAGATGAACCAGTGTGGAAAATCAGTGGACAAAGGACTTTGCTTATTGCTCCCCGCACACTCATGAAAAGGGGATGTACACAAACCCTGGTCCTATCACAGTTTGACCTGGGGAAAGGGAATAAAAATCCCTGTCAAGAAGAAATTATCCCTATGCTGCTTGGACTTCAGGAAGAGGGCAAGACTTCTAAGCATAAGCAAGGGATCCCCAGCTGTTTAGCATGGCTAGCCCTAAAGGTCATATAGGCCTTGAACATTACAGCTGCTTCTATTACATTTTGAAACCTAAGACTGTAACTCATTGGTGTGTATGGTTATCTGCTTTAATCTTGTAAATAACTCCCATTTTTCCTAGTTAATAAAACTTTAGTTAATTATAGGATAGATTACAAACATTGGTGAGATCAGGGTGCACTTGACCTGGGGTAAGTGACTGGTCCTTTGGGACTGGGAGTAAACTGAATATTGTTGTGATGTTTGGTGTAAGGAGGGATCGTCTATCACAGAGGTAGGCAACCTCTGGCACGCGTTCCGAAGGCGGCACGTGAGCTGATTTTCAGTGGCACTCACCCTGCCCGGGTCCTGGCACTGGTCCAGGGGGCTCTGCATTTTAATTTAATTTTAAATGAAGCTTCTTAAGCATTTTAAAAACCTTACTTAACTAAACTATTGTTGTTGTAAAGTATGTATTATAGACTTATAGAAAGAGACCTTCTAAAAACATTAAAATGTATTACTGGCACACAAAACCTTAAATTAGAGTGAATAAATAAAGACTCGGCACATCACTTCTGAAAGGCTGCCGACGCCTGGTCTATCACAAAGACAGGCTTGTCTGAGTTTGAGCGGTAAAGCGGTTGTAGTGCTTGAAGAGTTCACACTTGATTTTTGGTTAAGTTAGAGAAATCTAAATATAAAACACACCACCCGTTTGTGGTCTCTGCCCTGCTTCTTGGCAGTTTGCCCTGAGGTTGTCACTCAGGGTTGTTTGCAACACCAGACAACTTGATACCGAGAATGGTGTCTAGAAGATAAATGTTTGCTGTTTTGCTGCAGTATTATGCAAAAATAAAATGCTTTTTTAATTCCACTTTTGCTTATAGCCACTCAAATGCACACGGTTGCTACAATTTTCTGTAGCAGTACTTTCTTTAGCAGGACTTGGTTTTTCCCAGTCTTTGTTTGTGGGCCTTCCTGCCAATGAATTTATTTCATCATTGTCCTTGACTTACCAGGCTTCTGGACTGTCACATTTTTTGGCAGGGTACAACCTATGTTTACCTCTGGTTGCTAGGTTTTCCTGTGGAGTACACGCTGGACTAGAACAGATTTGCCAACAGAAATGTTTCTCCTGCTGATTTCACATTGACTCAGCAGGATCACTTTTTTTTAACTTAATTGAATAAGACTTTGCTTTTCCGACCCCTTTCTAATGCAAAGGACGTAATTAATCTCACAAATTGGAGGAAAGCTGAAGCCTGGTTACTGGAAAACAGTAACTGCTACTTCCACCAGTTACATCAGGCAATCTGCTCTGCAGTGGAGTTGCTGTGGGTGACAGAAGGTGACCTTAGACTTTCAAAAATTGTCTACATTGTCGTTCTATCATTCCTGCAGTTATGTTCTGAGCACAGCCCTGTAAAACATTTTAATTTTTGAAGCTGAGTTTGAGCTGTTAGAAAATCAAACCAACGACCATGTGGCTGTGTGTGAGGCGGAAAAAAAAGAAAGGGGAAAAAAAAACCCACGGCTTAGCAGCTCTGATCTCCCTCTATCTCCATGTTGAGTGTAGGTAAGGTGAAGGGCAGTGGGCATGTCCACAACTGTGTGTTTGTGTGTATTTCTCCCCCCCAACAGCTGCTGAATCAGAAGAGAACACCGCTGAGGGGGGAGGAGTGGGTCTGTCTCATGATCCCTCTGCCCAGCAAGGAGTGCCACCACTAGGGTTGCAACCCCTCAAGAATTAAAGATGAATCTTTAATTAAAGATGATGTCATGCGGTGAAACCTCCAGGAATCCGCCTAGCCAAAGTTGGCAACCCTAGCCACCACCCAGAGGCTCTTCCAGCGAGGTGGAGGAGAGGTGGGGGTTGTTCTCCTGGGCAAACGCTATGTGCCAAACCCTACTCCTGTGCTCCCGGCTGTGCCGCCAGCCCTCAGCCTCTTTCCAAAGCACCGTGTGCAAAGGCCGCCGGGCGCCCAACGTGCTTCGGAGCGATCAGCTCAGCGCTCTCACCCCCGCCGGGGGTCGGTTTATGTAGCTGGCCGCTTGTGCGCTGCCCTGAGATTAGGCGCCCGGGGGAGACATTCTTGTAGCCACGCTGATTGCCTGGCCCGGGGCGGGCGGGCTGCTCCCAGCTCGGGTCAATCACGGGATCAGCAGTCCCGCTTGCCTGACAAGGCCAAGCCGAGGTAGGACTGAAGCCCCCCATTGAGCTCGAGGGGGCTGGTTTCTGGGGCCGTGCGCTGAACGCGCCGCTTGCTGCTCCGGGGGGGCAGGCCCCGCAGCTCGGTCTCGGGGGACGCGCCGAGGCGCGGCCCGCATTGGAAGCTGGGTCCCGCTCCAGCGGCAGCGCTCGGCACCCGTGCGGCTGGGCGGGGCCGGGCTCCGAGCCAGCCCGGCATCGCCGCCGCTCAAAGCGCTGAATGAAAAGTGTGTCGCGGCTGAGGCTGCTCCCCACCGGCCCCTCCTCGCGGAGGGCTGGGTTCCAGCGAGTTACCCACACACGTGCGGCGCTGATCCCGCCGTCTCCGCGGCCCTCCCTCGGGTGGGGCTGGCGTTCGCCCCCGCTCAGGAGCGCCTTTCGATGGCATTAATCCGGAGCAGTAATCAGGCGCTTCCTGGAACGCGTCTCCGGGGGCAGATAATCCCGGGCCAAGCTGTCCCGAGAGGAGATTGCCTCGCCCGGGGGCTGGATCAGCCGGCTGCCGCGGATCAGCGGGGTCAGTTCTGAGCAGGCGAGTCTCGCAGGCATGAGGGGCTGCTGGGGGAGCAGCGAGCGAGCTCCCGCTAAGCGGCTTAGCCCCCGGCAGATGTTGTCAGGCTCCCAGCCAGCCCCGATCATTGGCGGCGAGAGAGGCCGAGAGGTCCGGGAAACACCTCTGGCTCGGGGGGAAGAGGAGGGGGCTTGCACTGGTGACTGGCACCCTCCGCCTTGCACTATGCGGGGGGAGTGAAGAATTGCACGGCGGCGTCTCGCCTCAGCAGGGGAGCTCCGGACCCCCGCTGAGGGGAGCTTGGCAGCTGGAGTGGAGGGAGTTTGGCTCCGATCGCCCCCTTCCTCCTCTTCCTCTCACACCCTCTGCTGCTCTTGCTGCTAGGCAGGGGCAGCGCTTGCCGGTGGTCTAGCGGGAGATGGCGAAAATCAGGGTGTCTTACGAGTACACAGAAGCCGAAGACAAAAGCATCCGGCTCGGCTTGTTCCTGATCGTCTCCGGCATCGTGTCGCTCTTCATCCTGGGTTTCTGCTGGCTCAACCCCGCTTTGCAAGATTTGCAAGGCAAAGCTGCCAACTGCACGGTGCTCTCGGTGCAACAGATCGGGGAGATGTTTGAATGCACGTTCACGTGTGGCACGGATTGCAAGGGCACCTCGCTGTACCCCTGCCTCCAGATCTACGTCAACAACTCCGAGTCCAACTCCAGGGCGCTGCTGCACCAGGACGAGCACCAGCTCATCACCAACCCTAAGGTAAACTTGTGCCAGGGAGAGAAGGGCAGGGGGAGGCCCTGGGGCGCTTGTAACGTCCCAGCTGCGGAGGCAGGGAAGCCAGGCCGTGCTTTGGGGTTTGTCTCCGAATCCCGGGGGTGGGGAACTCACGGACACTGGATCTAATGGCCTGAATAGCAAAAGCAGATCAGCCACTCGCGTCCTACTGCCCCCTCTTTGCTCCGGCTGTGCCGCCGCCTGTTGCTAGAGCCCCGCGCTCCTGTCAGTATCTAACTGAGGCGCTGCAGCCTTTGGAGCCTTTCCTCCTCCCCGCCTGCTTCGCACCCGCCTCCCTAGGACAGCAAAGTTTTACCTCCAGAGTTAACTTCTTTCGTGGCTAAGCTCGTCGCCCGGTCTCTCGCAGCTCCTCTTCCCGCCCCCGGCATGGACGGACCTGCTCACAGGTTCTTTGAAAGCGATCACAGGGCTAATGAGAAGAAGAGCCTTGAGTCGTCCCCCCCCCCTAATGTTAATCGTGTCCAGTAAAAGATCCAATAATTGATGGGCGCTTGAAGCCGCGGAATCCATCAGGGCTGCGGGGATAACAACGCCGGGTTTGTGGCTGAGACCCGATCTACCAGGACCGCCACACACGGCCAGAGAGAAACACCATTGACAACGGATTGCGACCTGCCCGGGTGCAATCTATCCCCCGGCTGCTCGGAGAGAGAGGGCAGGGGTCCTGAGAAGGAGGCGCGCTGGGGACGGCAAAAGAATCGCACTTAGTCAGCTGGTTTGCGTTTCCTTCGCGGTTATTGCAGATGTTTAGAGCCGAGGTTCTTCCTTCCAACCCGGCTGCTCCGTATTTAAGGAAATCCCCATTCCAGGGAAACGATTGAAAAGGCTCCCACTGTGGGAGAGCCAGCCGGAAAATAAGTTAAACGCACAACTTCAGCAACTAGCAATTAAACAAGAAAAATGATGTGGAAGAGAAGGCCAGTGTATTCTTTGCTTTGAGCACATGCCGCTAAGATTTCACCTTTGCAACCCCATCTTTAAACCAACGGGGAAAAAAAAACGTTCTCCTGGGCTCTGAGGTGTGTTTCTGTAGCTATATTTGTAAAATATGATTCCTGCCCTTCCAGTTTACCCTAAGTGTAGTAGCTAGCAAAGGAGTTAAACACTTTTTTCTAAGTTGGCACACAGTTAATATAAGCAAGTGGAAGGAAGGGTAAAAAACCCACAGCTATTGCAGAGAGGTAAGCATTGAGTGTGTATTTATGCTATGAGAATTACTATCCCCTTTTTAAAAAGAAGAACAGGAGTACTTGTGGCACCTTAGAGACTAACAAATTTATTAGAGCATAAGCTTTCGTGGACT